GTTTGACCCGTCGGGTTACATCACTGCCACATAGTTAAGGCTCTAAACACACTGGAGAGGCACACCCAATACCAGCGCAGTGAAGGTGAATGGATGAACAATGAGCGCCAGAGATGTCACAGTTAGGAGATATTGTTTCTGTTTGCTAGTTACTGCTGACATCGAAGGTCAGGAAGTGGAAAAACGAATAGTACTGTGATAACATAAGATGTGGAGAAAGGCATCAGATGAGCTCATGAGGGCTGTTGACTGGTTTTGATAGATAAGTGTTTAAAATGTCTTCAAACTGTTTTAGTCCCTTCCCATTCATTTCAATACAGTGTGAACAAAGTGCTGTTGCACCGAGCAGCGCCGTCACAGAGGAATCTGTCGCTAACTGTTTCAGACAATCGGTTGCTTTCTTTATGAAATGTGATAAAAAATTATGAAAAAAGTGACGTTATAAAAACACTAAAAACTTTAAATTGTCTTGTTTTGTCTGACCAATAGGAGTGTAAGGAAACACCAGTGAACTTGAGTATCGTAACATTAAGATGCTGTATCGACATTTTATTGATTTACCTAATTAGTTTACATGCAAATATTTGGTGGCCAACAGCGGCTCCGAATGCACAGAAAGTAGTGCTCGGACGTCTGTTCACCGCACTGTATGCACAGAGCGGTGAGACACTTTACATCTCGATATATCTCCCTGCTGACGGTGTCATGATGAACATCGAATCACCAGATTGTTCCCAACACACAACCCTTCTGACCAACAGTCCAAAGATATTAAACATACAACGACATAAAACAGAGAAAAGCAACAAATCCTCACATTGAAGAAGCTGAAACTGATAAAAGTTATTTGTCAACACGTCTTTCTCCCACTAGAGCTCATAGAAGAAGATTCAAACGCAGAACAGAAATGACTTCGGGCAATTGAAAGTCATTTTTGTACGTATAGGAGCTTGATGTATAGTCATATTTTATGACTTCATCACCCCAAATAAATGAAATACTATGGTTGTATAAATGTAATTCATGGTGCTGTTAGTCCGCCTCGGTTCCACAGGTGAGTAGAACAAGTGCTACTTGTCGGACAAGTCGGAGAGAAAAGTCTTTTTGACGGCTAAAAGCCAGCAGATATGGATTGAAGATATTTTGTTGGATGTAAACATGTTGGGAATTTACCTGTGCCTGTACCTGTGCCTGTACCTGTACCTGTGCAGCTGCTGGAGGCTGGCCATGTGTTGTGACGGGCTGTCCTGTCTCAGCAACAGCTGCGTGTCCACTCGTGACTATCACCAATAACCATCACGCTATTGATGATGTGTTCTGATTGACTCTATGAAATATAATCAGAAGTTATCTGAGCCCTAAATGACGTCTTCAAACTGCTGAAACGATGAGTCTATTACCTGACGGACAAAGCTTTTGACAAGCATTGCTCATTATTCAAGCCACTTATTAAGCAAACATGTGGAGCATTGCTCAGTTTGATATGATAGTAAAGTGAATATATTTGGGGTTTGGCTCGTTAGTCGGACCAAACATGACATTTGAAGATGATCCCTCAGGCTGGGGACATTTGGATTTTGATCTTTGAGCTGATTAGATGACAAATCCACAATTGATGAACTGGCTGCAGTCCTTAACTAACCAATGAACTGACTGATAGTGGCTGCAACTTACGCTCGTTTCCACTGTGGATTATTTTCTGAATAGTTTGGTTGTTTGGTCAGTAAAATCTCGATCTAAAGCCAAAGATAGTTTAGTGTTATTCAGGAGTAAAGAAAAGAGAAAATATTCATATTCAAGAAGTTGGAATCAGAGAAGTCCGACTTTTTTTCCAAAAAAAATTATGAAAATAGTTGATTGTTTCAATAGTTGACTAATCGATGAGTCGTTGCAGCTCTAATAGAGATCTTTTAAATCTTATTTATTCACAACTTCATAAAAGTGAGCGTTTCTGTATTAGAAGAAGTTGCTATTAATGAGGACGTGCTGGTTGCTGAGGCCTTGTTAGTCTCAGATCTATAATATGGAGAAGTCATCATCGCTCTGGAACGTACTGCGAGCTTTCCAACACTGTTTACAGGTTTCCTCACAGCGTCACCGTCTTAAATATTTTGCGGCGCGACAACAAAAGCTCTGTGACGGGAGGAAAGAAGCCCTCTGATGACATCAATGTGACACGGGAGGACAGAGGGCGTAGTCGGCCGGAGTCGCCTGGCGTACGAGAGTTGGCCGTCACCAGTCCAACACGTTCTCGTCAATGAGCCGGTCGGGCCAGAAGCACCGCCAGCTGTATTTTCATGAGGCGCAGGTGAGTGGGAGGAGGAATGCTCACCTGTCTATTTAAAGCTCTCACCGCTAAAGTGTTTTATGAGCCGTTAACTTTGACATGTGGCGGCTGTGGAATGAGGCGCCGCGCCAACCCGATAAACCTGCAGGAGCGTGTGAAAAAAACAAGAAACATCATAAACATGACGCGAGGAAACTACATGTTTCTGTCACCGTGTCAAAATGAAAACGCAGGCGAGAGGCCGTCTCACATGTGTGCTTTGAGAGAGTGATGCGTTTACTCTTGTGAGATGTGTTACAGTGGATACTGAGGCTTTCATGAAAGAGAAGGAAGAGAAGGCTTCCATCTCCTGAGCTCTAAAAGAATACCTGGAGGCCACCGAGCATCGATAGACAACTTCCTGCTATTTGCTTTCTGTCTGAATTGACTTGACTTTGAAAAGCCGAGATACAAGCAGAGCAAACAAGGTAGAAGGGAAACAAGAACCCATTAAGTGCACGTCTTCAAAGCATTATGCTGGTGTGTGCTGTTGAAGTACGCGAGCAGGTGTCAAGGGCGCGAGGATCACTGGAGACGTAAAACGCTCCCATGCCAGGAAGAGAGAGAACAGGTGTGACGTTATGAGCTGCAGGACAACACCAGCGGCTCTTCGGGCCCTCAAGGCACATTCTGGGGGCCGGAGGGGGGGGAAAGGTGTCAGCTTGGCGGCTGATGACGGAGAACAGTGCACACAAGTCGTCTCGCACTCCTCGCTATCTACTTCCTGAAGTCCTCAGAGGCGCCAGCGGTGAAACCCTACCGGCCCACGGGCTGATTAGAAAGCTAAGAGAAAGGTTTGGGAGAGCGTCTCCGGCTGATGTCAAGCAAAGAGAATCACCAGAGGAGAAGTAATACGACTTAAGAAAACAGCCATCCAGAATGACATCTCCCTCTCCAAGTAATTACGGTTTAAAGTGAAGCAGCGTTCATGTCAATTCAGACCAATTACATGAGAACACACACTCTCACACACACACACACACACACACAGATAGACTCTTAAGAGCTGTAAAGTCCCGGTCGGTCGCTCTTACCGTCAAAGATTAAAGATGCCAAAAGGCAGTTTGGACGAGCTGTGACACCAAACTGAGAGCGCTTGTGGACGGAGGAGCTCAGTTTGACGATAGTCCAAGTGAAGGATCACGGAGCTCATGAGCCACCGGCTGCAGCAGAGGAGACGACTGCTGGTGTAAACGCCTCGCTCTGGACGCCCCGAATTACCCTTCTCACTGGACACCCCCCCCCCCCCCCCCCTCTCTGCTGTTGCTGCTTCTTGTCACCCTCACAGTACACTCACACCCCCCTCCCCCATAAACCCCTCCCAGGTCACCCTTTGCCCTAATATGCCTTCAGCAACTGCCACCAATTCATCAGTGTCTGTGTTGGCAGAGTGAGGCGCTTGTTGTTCGGCTCTTCTGCCCTCTTCAACACCAATCATGTCAACTTTAGGGCCGCAAACATAGAAAATTATATATATACCATTGACTAATGTGTTCTTTTTATATTTAATCAATCGATTTGTTACGAAGTCTAAATGTCTGGATATGGAGGACACATCTATTAATGTTGTGTCTGAGGAAAAGTGTAAAATTAAGAAGTTTCAAATCTTAAACGGAATGAAACAGGAAAAAATAGATTAATAATTAGTTATCAGAATTGTTGCTGATACATAATCTATTAATCATTTCATCTTTACGTCACGGCCAGCAGCATCCACTGGTCTCGCTGGTGAGGAGCTGAAAACTGATCAGTAGATGAATCAAAGTGAAAATAAACTGTTGATGATCATTTAGTCGTTTATTGAGCATTGTTCTCGTATCGGCTTCTTCAACGGGAGCATTATAAACTGACAAACATTTAAAAGAGCTCATCTTTAGTTCAGTTTATCAAATATTGTGATCAAATAATGACAAATCTCAATCAAAAGTTTTCAATTATCAACCCAATAATCTATAATGTCAATGATCATTAGCTGCAGAGCTTCTCTGGTCAATTACACGACTTAAGCACATTTATCAATATGGGTTTTTTGTGACATGAATGGAAATCAATGGCTGCCTCGACCCTGAGACTGTACGCCGCTCACTTGAAAATGGGCAACAAAGATGTAGTGTGAACATGATGAGGAGAGACAGCTTGCAATCACTGGTGTGTGTGTGTGTGTGTGTGTGTGTGCGTGCGTGCGTGCGTGCGTGTGTGCGTGTGCAGACAGAGGGAGTCACTAGCTGCCTAGCTAAGTGTGTCAGGTCCTCGCTGCACACCATCCTGTCCCTGGTGCACGTGCGAGTGTTCATCCTCCATTTGGATCATGAGCTGCTGGCAGTGAGGCGGCAGCTGCCTGCATACCTTTTGTTCCACTGGACCCTTAAAGCCCCCCCCCACCCACCCTGAAATCTACACACAGCCCTACCACACAGATATACACTTTGCATGCTCAGCTGTCAAGAGAGTTCATCAAACCGGTAACGTCTCGTGCCCCTCGGCCCTCTACGCTGGATTCTAAAAGGACTCCTCTGCTGTCAGACTGACGGCTGTGATCTGACGCTAAGTCCAGAGCTGTGGAAATCAAATCCCAACTTGGTGAGAAACAGTTAGATGACCACGGAGAGAGAGGGGGGGGGGGGGGGGGCCGCTTCCCAAGGAATGACTCTCCAGCCCCCAGACCTTTACTGACCTTGAAATCTCAGAGGGGGCTCCGGAGGGGTGTGGGAAACCGGGAGGCCGGGAGTCCGACAAACAGTCGTGTCATAGTTTCCACACAACACACTGAGTGTAGGTAGGCCCGTCTGTGGCCGCAGAACAACGGGTTAACAAGGGACAAAGTCTCCAAGGGCCCATTTACACTGGAGGCAGCAACGTCTATGGATACATGGGAGAGGGGAGGGCCCCGAAAATATGTAACTGCCTTCATCCATCTGGAGCAGGAAAACAATATCCACCACCACCAACCCACCGGTTACTGTGATGTCCCACCAACAGTTACTGCTCGTTTCTCATACGTTTTCTTACAGAAGTCCAGCAAAACGTGTCAATTTACGCTCGTTACTTCAATACAGTCTTTTCAAAATAAACTTCCGTCTTCACAGGAAACAACTCAGTTAGGTTTAGGAAACCTAACTGAGTTGTTTGGGTTCAAAAATGTGCCGTTACTGAAGTACGCAAGTTACAAAAACGTCAACATTGACTTCTTGTTTCACACGAGGAACAAACATCGGTCTCCTGGCTGTCCGGTCCCTGTTTGTTGGATCCATCCTGCTCCTCTCCCGCCCGCCCGGTGTGTTCTTTACTGGTCTTTATACGTCCTCGTTCACAATTAGATTTTTCATAGGTTTCGCTACCAATGCTGGATGAGACCAGTCTGACAAAACAAAACAAGCCCAATGCAATCACTTCCCCAACAAACACAAGCGCTGGCCTTTTCTCCAGGTCCCTCCCCCGCTTGCCGTCCACGTTTGTCTTCCATGTGCTCGGTTCTCCGGGGGCCCTCCATGTAGAACACAGGGTGTTGGCCCGACGCCTAAAACGGGGATCTATGAGCCCACCTCCGCTTCTTCCTGAGACAAAACGCCAGCGCCGGGCCAAGACTGTGTGGTGCTGGCTGCATGCGGTGGGGATCCGGCTCTGAGGAGAGAAACGATATCTCTCTCTCTCTCTCCCTCAACAGGGCGGTCAGAGGAAGCAGCTACTTCGCCCAGAGGCGAATGTATTTATGTTGAAAGGAGACGCAGAAGCGTATAAGCTGCGGCTCTCACATCCGTCCACGTCGCTGTGGATACGTGGGCAACAAAAGGATGTGTGAGAAAGGTGCACCGCCACAAAGATGAACTCAAGAGGGCTTTTGTTGAAGACGAGCTTATCCGGCATTTGTCTTTGTACCAAAATGACTAATACATTTGTGAATAAACATGATTTATGCTTTCAAGGGTTTGACAGTGAATACCCTGATTATGCAAATCTGCCTCCCCTCCAGAGGACGGGGTAACTTTAAAAAAAATAAAAATGACAAAGCCTTTCTCTGGTGTGTGTGTCCCATATTATTGAGGAATAATGACAAAAGGGTGGAATAGCATCCACCCTTTATCCATCCGCCTCATTATGTGATCAACACGTGTGACCAGGCTTCTCGTTACTCAGCGGTGCTGGAGCACGGATACAATCGATGTTTTACTTCACGTTGGACGGACAGTGGTTTTAAACCATTCGGCAGGTTTCTTTAGTCCTCTTTTGGTAACGAACCAATTCACAGTCCATTTTCACCCATTGACTCCCATTTAAGTCTTCAGCATCAGAAACATTACGATCGGATATCTAACAGTTTTCTGCAACTACTTCAAGTGTTCTGGGCCAACTCGCCCGAAATTAAGACCACCAACAATAATCTTATTAGAGATGAATACAACTCAATGAAATATAGAAAATTCAAGAGTCAAGTTTACAACAAGGGGAATCATTTCACACATCGATATCTATGCAATGATCCACAATCCAATATCATCGATGCAAAGTGAAAACATCAAAACATTCATCATCTTTAAGATGTGCCTTTATTTTGAAATCCCCCAAGTGTGCCTCCTTCCTACAAAGCCCCTGAATTAAATAAAATCAAAGTTGTATTATGACAGACTTTGGGAGACGAGAAAACACCGTATCAGAGTCCCAAGAATCCCGTATTGTGTCTGTATGAAACTTCTTGTTTGGGCCGTCGTCTCCAAACTAAAGCGATCATGAGACGAGAGCTGTCACGGCTCAGATGTCTTCCCGTCTCGGCTCCATTGGAAACACTAAAAGATGTTTGCTTAGTTCGTGGACTGCAGAGTCTTCTCTACAGAACACGCTTACATTCTGATTGAGGAGCTTTAGCATAATAAACTTAAATGGCTTTGTAAAATGATGCATTAGCTAAGTTTAGCTTAGTCCTCCCTCCTCTGGATTCTTCAGTACTGCAGCTCATATAGACGGTTCTTTGTGAAATCTGATCCTAGAAATAGCTGCTTATTGTCAACCCAAAAGTTCAAAGGAAACTAAAGCAGTGATGCACCTGCCAATGCGTTACCTATGACTTCTTTACAATAAAAGTCTAGGGGATTCTCATATGCAAAGCATTTAATGTGAAGGAAGATCAACAGGAACTAAAATAGCATGCTTCACAATCAACTTCTGTGGAGCTCGACGAGCTCCCTCTTCTCTAATCTGTGCGGATTGTAAAGCCCTTTGGGTCAAACTTGTGATTTTGGGTGTAAAATTAAACTTGACAAAGTGTTTTTATTCATAGGGCAAATTATCCGTTTCTGCTTTCTACCTTTGATTTGATTCGGCTGGTTGTTCCACCAAAAGAAAAGGCCACGCAGCCGACAGATCTGATGCTTGGAAGGAGCTGCTGTTGTCTTGGGGACACAGTTTGCGTGTCATGCTTTTAGTTTCTGTTCATCATCACATCCTCTGGGTGTAAGTGTCCATGACCGACATCCACATCTAATTTGGGCAAATTGGGCAAATCCACAGGCTCTGCATTAGTGACGATGGGCTGTTTGCTGCTGCCACGATTTAAGATTGAGGCCCATGAGACAAACGTTAAAGTATCGTTCATGACTACATTCTCTTCAAATCACTCATTGGAAAAGATTAAATTAGGTCAATATGCTTTTTGTTCCAGACCTCCGCCATGGCCGATCTGCTCCAGAATGTGGTGGGTTCATCTTTGGCCGATGCAAACCCTTCAACCAAGTCACATGAAAAAATACGGCCAGAAGATTTTCCGTAATTTTGCGGACAAACTATCAAACCGAACTGAAAACATAACCTCTTTCACCGGCTTTATATCTGCCAAAATGCTGGTTAAAAGATTGGAAAAGACGGCTATCCAATTTGCAAAGTGTGCGATTTAGAAGTTTAAGTTAACGATCAAAGTTTAAAATAATGTTTTTACTGCGGATCGTTATCGGACAATAGTAAGTAAAAAAATATGAGATCAGCAGTTGGGCATTATGAGTTCTAGTCTCTGATCTCTGATTATGTTACATTGAGAACAGAGAGCTAGTTAACGTTAGCACCACCGGAGCTAACGACTAACGAACAGAGGTCCCATTGAACTACATTAAGATGTGTTCATGCTCTGTTGTCTCACAACGTTATCACAATGTGTTCAATGTCATCTTGTAAAATGTAGTTTTATGGTGAGGAACTTGAATAAATCTAAAGTTGTTTGAAGACGTTTTCACAGCAATAAAAAAAAAAAAAAAACAGATATTAGAGATGAATTATGACCAGTTTAACTTCCTAACACTAACCTATAATACATCATTAAAACTACAAATACCAAACATTTGTATTAATAAAACTACAGTAAATTATTGTGAATAATAACTGTGAAAACCCTGATATTCAAGTGTCATATGGTGACTTATAACCCTCATTTAAACTGACGAGGAGGATCTGATGAAACGTGACCTGCTGATGTTAGTATTTTAACAGTACTGGACTGTACCAACCCAGAGACATGTGGTATCTCCCAGCCACCAGGAGCTGTCACAGCTGAAAGGTGAAAAAGGTCAAGAGCAGCAAGACGAGCCGGAACAGACGCAGCAACCTGTTCCCTTCAACTGTCTGCCTCACTCAGCCGCCACCACCACAGGCTCAGCCAGCCGACCTCCAGCTAATCCCAACACGGCCACAGCGACGGTAACACAGACTCACAATATTCATCGAGGCTGTTAAAAAGCTTCTTTTAACGGTGAAATCAATAAAGTCTCCATAATAAGGACAACACATCTCTTTAAACTTCTACATGAGTTCAGTGCACTCTTACAATGTGTGAAGTACTTTTTCTGACAATGCGGTAAGGGAGAAGGGGTCTTGCTGCGTTATCCTAATTAATGCGCTATGCGTGTTGCTATATTATATTTTAATCTATCAAGTAAATTAAAGCCATAAATCACTCAGCTCCTGAGGCTCCCACGCCCGCACGAGCGACCGGAGAGACGGGGAGACGTTTAGCTTACGCACCAGAAAAGAAGAATGCACGTCTGGAATTAAAGATTCATCGGTTAATTTTACTTTGTTAGGATTGTGGAGAAGAAATCCTCTTTTGAATTGACGTTCTTGTTTGAAGTGCTGTTGGAAAAATCTTCCCGTGGCCAAAAAGCGAGTCGTTATTTCTCTGAACATAAACAGACTGTGCAGGTTTGCTGGAGCTGAACACAAGACTACAAAGTGTTTCAGGTCCTTTTTTAATCCTCTTTTTGCCAAATGCAGGCGGGGTTATGTGTTGACCCTGTGTGACTGGGAATCAAACCTCAACAAGACTCCCTGGAATGTGTATCTGGTTCACAGACTGTATGGAAGGAGTGGACGTAGTCATCGAGACCTCTCTCGTTGGTTTGTGGACGGATGTTTTGAAGCCTTGAGTTCGGCGGGTTTGGCCGTCGCCATCTTGGGTTTTTGCAACCAGCGAACAGGAAGTGACCATATCTGGACTGAGGAGGAGTGACGTAGAGACGCCGTATACGTCTCTGGTAGAGACCTGTCAATCACAGTAAGCCCCGCCCTAAAGCATCCCCTGCTTTATGGTCTGTTTGACTCTAAATGGACCATAATGTACTAAATGAACATCATGCTGTATTGAAGAAGACTTGAAACTAGAGATTGAGACCATAAACTCAAGACGATTTAAGGGATGAGACGGAAAAGAAATGTGTAGTATTTAAGTTCTTTTTTTCTGTGAAATACAGGATGTTCAAATGAAAACATCTGAAAATAAGTCTTTGACATGAGTAACATGGCGGGGAACCAATATGTTGGACACAGTCACAAATCGGTATATTTCTCATGAGCATGACATCAAATAGAGACAAGTCATCAATTCATTGAGTCAACGAGTTAACAGAAAATCACTTCGTTGGTTCACTCATTTTTCAAGCACTAATGATGAATTGAATCTCTGAGTTTCGGACTGTTGGTCAGATAAAAAGACAAACATCTGAAGACACTGTTTAGGCCGTGAAGAATTATAATAATGGTTCATTTCACACGTTTATCAGACAAAGCGATTAGCGATGAGTAGCTTGGTGTGAAGCTGATAATGACGAGTGTGGCTCATGACAGCGGAAC